CCTAGAATTAATTCATACCCGGTATTGTTTGTGTCCTAGTATACATTCATACCTAGTATTGTTTGTGTCCTAGTATTAATTCATACCCAGTATTGTTTGTATCCTAGTATAAATTCATACCCAGTATTATTTGCGTCCTGTATTTATTTATATCAAGTTTTGTTTGTGTCCTGGTATAAATTCATACCCAGTATTGTTTGTGTCCTGGTATTAATTCATACCCAGTATTGTTTGTGTCCCAAAGAATAATTCATACCCAGTATTGTTTGTGTCCTAGTATTAATTCATACCCAGTATTGTTTGTGTCCTGGTATTAATTCATACCCAGTATTGTTTGTGTCCCAAAGAATAATTCATACCCAGTATTGTTTGTGTCCTAGTATTAATTTATACCGAGTTTTGTTTGTGTCTTAGTATTAATTCATACCCAGTATTGTTTGTGTCCTAGTAATAATTCATAACCAGTATTGTTTGTGTCCTAGTATTGATTCATACCCAGTATTGTTTGTGTCCTAGTATCTATTGATACCCAGTATTGTTTGTGTCCTGGTATTAATTCATACCCAGTTTTGTTTGTGTCCTAGTATTAATTCATATCCAGTATTGTTTGTGTCCTAGTATTAATTCATACCATATTTTGTTTGTGTCCTAGTATTAATTCATATCCAGTATTGTGTGTGTCCTAGTATTAATTCATACCCAGTATTGTTTGTGTTCTAGTATTAATTTACACCCAGTATTGTTTGTGTCCTGGTATTAATTCATACCCAGTATTGTTTTTGTCCTAGTATTAATTCATACCCAGTATTGTTTGTGTCCTAGTATTAATTTATACCCAGTATTGTTTGTGTCCTAGTATTAATTCATACCCAGTATTGTTTGTGTCCTAGTATTAATTCATTCCCAGTATTGTTTGTGTCCTAGTATTAATTCATTCCCAGTATTGTTTGTGTCCTAGTATTAATTCATACCCAGTATTGTTTGTGACCTAGTATTAATTTATACCGAGTATTGTTTGTGTCCTAGTATTAATTCATACCCAGTATTGTGTGTGTCCTAGTATTAATTCATACCCAGTATTGTTTGTGTCCTAGTATTAATTCATACCCAGTATTGTTTGTGTCATAGTATAATAATATCAGAAAGATTTTATGATGTCTGGGTAGGACCTAAATATGCATAACAAGGACCGGGAAGGTTTAAGAGTGTTCACGTTAACACTGGACAGGTGAAAGGTTTAAATAAATGAAAGGACCAGGGCGGTGTTATAACAAAAATTAGGACGAGCGTTTTGTGAACAAATCATGGCATCTCGACAAAAAATGAAAAAATATCATTGATCGTTCAGTCAAAAAGAAGTTGAATACTGGAGCGCTGAATAGGAAATTTATTCCTTCCATATGGCACCCTTGTTCGTGTGTCTCGTTATTAAACCTAGTATGAATAGGTTACCAGTGGACTAGGATATGACGGACATTTGTTATGCTTTTGTCAGACATTGACATCATAGCTAGAAACAAGGTCTTGATGGCGTTTGTAACGTTTGTTTCAGCGTTTTATGAAGCTTTCCAGGTTAAGCACACGCTTTAACTAACTATAATATTTACGTTTTATTATTTAGGGAGTAAGAGTGATTAGAATTAAGAGGTAGATATTTGGAGGTTGATGTGAGCGTGCAACATGTGTTCCAGTTACGTATACACAGGTCTGTCTGTCTCGTGCATGTGTGAAACGATCTAATTACGCACGCGCTAGTCCCCCAACCTCTGATCGTCATACTTTACGAGTCAAGTTTACTATTCAATTAATATATTCCAACTGTTCACACCCTACCAGTCGAGTGTTTAACAGATGCGCACAAAATTAATTCATATGGTGTCTGATTTCTTTCATTACATGAACCTAAAAATTACTTAAATGTGTGGACAATTATATTACAGCAGTCACGTGACTACATATACGAACGCACCCATTTATCACATACCGGAAGTCAGCTACTTTAATGGCGCGATGAATGTAATAATGATGGTGCGAGGCTTTGATCTTTCTTTTTCGCTCGAAAGGAAATTACTCATTCGTGAAAAAGAATCATCTTCATATCTATAAGATTAGATAGGGTGTCTTTATAAATGCGTCATAATTTCTTACACTTACTAATGCATGAATTAAACAAAATGAAATAATGCATGAAACTATAACATAAAAAAGGCATAGGTAGGTAATTTTCTTTATAGTAATCCTCGTTCATCACACCCTGTCTCTATTCGTTATTACTGAACCACAGACAAACATGATGTAGAGCATGGTATCGGACAATTTAACCCCTGTGAGAATGAGTTTAACCACGACACATTATATCTACATTTAAAGGTATACAACAAAGGCCCACCTACATTACGTGTGATCTCACTGAACCTAGGTACCAGTGCTTTCCAGTAATTTTGAAAAGAGGGAGGCACCTGAGCTCTCAAGTCATTAAATCTATTTTATTATTTTAATTGATACCTAGGATGGTACATTTTGCACGTACACTTATTCTTTAAGAAATGAGTTAACTTAACATGATGCAATTTAACACCATAAAGTTTAGAAACAAAACAATGATTCATAAATAATCAATGTTTTAAAGTAAGCATCAAGAGATAATAGTAGGGGTTCAACCATCTATAAACGTCTGTTATAATTTTGACTTATTGATATTGCAAAACAATGTGTATTGTTTAGTTGAAATGTATGTTTGTATTGACAATATTAGATATTACAAATTTTACTGTGTTTAGAAAATACTGATCTAGGACCTTTTATCAAGGAGCTCAGGGAGCTTAACGTTGGGTTTAAAAGTTTGTGATAGTCAGCAAAGCGAAAAAACAGAATCACACAAGATTTCGCTTAGTTGTAATATACTTAACCCTTCTGAATTACAACTGTGACTTAACTACATCGAGTGAATAGTAGATCAAACATAAACAGTGATTTGCATTTAAAAGTAGGTAAGAAATAAATCTATTCCAGATGATCTACAAACGTCTTTTTTTTGAGACGTTGGTTACGCGTTCAGCAGAAACCTGGTGATTAAAACAATGAAACAGTGTTACAGTAAGAGCTTCATGTTTGAATAGAATATTAGACTATAGATTAGTACGCCGAGCTTGATGGTCTGTGGTGCAATGGGCAACTCTCCATCGGTTACCGAAATAGGAACTGTAATGTTACACGTAATTTTTTATATAAACTCATAACTATACAAATGTACAAATTGATATTTAAGCTACAAGAAGCTGCAGTGGCTGAGTTAACAGTTTTACAAGTAAATGGATACAATGTGTTCAGTATGTTTCCATAAACACAGACGTATTTTTGAGACGTTCCAGTGAACTATAATTGTTGATAATAACTAAGAAAATCTGAACGGGTCAATTTATTCAAAATTGGTTACCGATAAGCATTCAAAGACCAATATTATACGTTTCTAAATACGTCTAGTAGTAAACTATTCAACTAAGTTTTTATAAACTAACATTGTACATGCTGAGCTGTTGTTGTGTATCCTCGAATCACAAGGATATAGAACCAGCTGGGTGTTCAGGAAGAGGAAGCGTTCTCCGTACCACATTTACCACAAATGTCTGCATCCAGGATCGGTTGTCGTCACCAATGACGTCAGACAGAGTGGCCAGATACTGTCGCCTGCGCAGTAAAAACCTCGATAGAAGAGGACGTGTGGCAGATTTGTATCCTATATAGTGTTATACAGTAGATCTATAGAGAAGAGAGGGCCCGTTCATTAGATTTTCCCTAAAATGTTGGCTGAACGCGCACTTGCCTTTTACCAAGTTGGGCGGGGTTCGATTCCCGATCGGAGGTGAAAAGGTACTTGATTCAGGTACTCCGGTTTCCTCCGACATAAAGAACCTGTGCGCGCTTCCATCCAGGCCAACAAGAGTGATAAGTAAAAGTTCATAATTGTTTTCCAGTGAAATAACTAAAGCTTGCACGATATATTTATAATTTCACTGTGAATTCTTAATTGCCCAAAATATTGAATTACTGGTAAAAAAACACAATCAATACATCTTAATATGTATCCAGGATCTAACCTCTCTTATTAACAGTTGAGCGTACATGTCGTTGACACTTTGACAGTTTTTTTTGTACCCTTGGTAGACTGTTGGCAAACTATGTTAAAATTGATAAAAAGTGATGAAAGTGTAAATCAGACATACAATGCAACTACACATGCAGATTTCGATCGGAGGTATACAAGACAACTCGTCTTACGGATTGTTAACGAGTTGCTAATTCTATAAATAGTTTTGGAGGTTTATACATATTTACGGGAGGAATCTATTAGACGTGCGGGAAGTCAGCTGATATCTATGATACGTTAACACATTCACCCCTGAAGACACATTTGAACTTTTCCAATTCAAAGGTTCATGTTATTAGTGAAATACATATACTCTAATCGAATCCTTGACTCCTGTGTGATGTGGAAAGAAACGTTCCCCACCGATGGTAAGATATTGGAAGTTCAGCACAAAACTTTGCCAAGTGCTAAACTGTATAATTATTATCGGAGTGTTAAAATTGCACTTTCTACATCACATTGGAGTGATTTAATTACTTTTTTCAAATACTTTCATACTGTAAAACTATGTTGTGATGGTGATCACAATGCACGCTGCCACCATCAATGAGGTATAAAATGTATGACAAAATTGATGATGCTACCCTGGTAACACTGCTTTTTGTGTTGACGCGATGGTGACGTTTTAAGAGTCGAAGCGTATGTTAGCTGTCTTTCCCGGGGTAGGTTAAGACATGTTTATGTCTTCCAAGGAAAAACGGGCAGGCAGAGTAATCATGTCCTAGACACACAATATATACGATAAAGTATCACACTGTTCAGAATAAAACCTAGCGGTTTGTTTACACTTGATGAACCTGTTTTGATCCATCGTTGTAAATGTCAATGAAAACAACACAATGCTATACTTTTACATAACAAAATTTATATAAAAGTGGATGAAAAATATATATACATCGATAACAAGAAGCGGGAATAAATATAAAGTGCGCGTGTCTGCATGTACAATGAACGTGCAGAGGTGATCAATTACAGTGCACAGCTTGACCGGAAACGATAACACTGTACAATTGTCTTCAATCTAAAATGTGTTGCATCAATAGTACGCATGCGCACTTAGCACTAGTATTCCAACAATAACTGTTTTTTGACAAATACAGAGAATTTCGTCACCAGACAAGAAATATGTAAATCGAAAAATAATTTATCATTATGCTTACAGACATAAGTTAGGCTGTAGAACTATCAGTGTATTGTCAAATAAGTAATAGTCAATATATGTATTCTCCAAATGTTACATTATAAGTTTATACCAGTGCACAAATATCAACGTTTATCACGTGATACGACCACGTCACATGTTATTCCGGTCTATACGGAAGCACTCGCGAATCATCAATGATTCATTTAAAAATGTCATCCCGTAAATTCTTTAAAAGTACATAATAATAAGTCAACCTCTTTTACATTTATATATCTAAGACTATATCGAGGTTGTCATGAGTTATTTCCCATTTCGTCCAGTGAGTTGTTTAGTAAATAGGGCGAGATGTACAAACACAAGAAAACGCCATACGCTGATTCCTTTGTATGTCGGTCTGAGGAATCCAGACACAAACCCGCCTGCTGTACCAAAGTAAAATTCCACGGTCGATGTAGTCGAGTCTGGGTCCGCCTTACAGCGATCTCATTTTGATAAGTATCAAAGTAAAAAAGCAAACCGTTTTATCCAAAGATGCTTACATTCTGTCGCAAAAGTTGGTATTTATTATCGAAATATTCCATCATTAAATGCATATTCCTGGAGACTGGCGTTGAACCACTGCTATAAAGCCGTTTAACACGGCCCTATTTACACACCATGTTGCTGTTAAGTCACCACAAGCGGTAAACGTTGCAGTGTTGGCTATTTTTTACAACATCCGTCTGACCACCTTCTGTCAAAAATATAACTGCTTATTCACACCCATTCGAACAAAGCACGTATTCGTGTGTGTTAAAGACAGGTGTGTCTGATACATGTGTCCATGTGTGTTACAGGCGTGTGTCTGATCCACGGTTTATATGTGTGTTACAGACATGTGTGTCTGATTTTTGTCCGTGTGCATGTTTCACATTTTACATGGCAACACCATTGAAAAATACAGCTACATCGTTCACGAACAGTGTAACTCTCCGAATTAAACCCCCTACCACAACACATCAGGTCACACCCATCTATACCGATAGAGGTCGCGTTACACTCGCGTCCCTTCGTCCCCGGAAATCCTATACTGTCATCTCGGTCACAAAAGGTGGGAGATTGCTCGAAGTAAACGAGGTCCCTTCTTCCGGGCTTTTTAAGGTTGGGATTCGTCGGGACAAACTTAAATCTCCGTCTCCTCTTTTTCCTGCCACCACCGTTGTTTGCTGAGGACAGAAATAGTCAGATTTGAGCAATATATACGTTAATGGTTAACACAAATACGCCAGGAAAGAACATGTTACTTTGTATGAAATTAAACTTAATTATAGGTTTCTAAGCAGCAATGCATTTCTATGTAAACAACAACTTGACGAAGTATTATGGTGATGCTGAGCTTATATTAACACTCACATAGCTGGTAAAATAAGTCAAGCATTCATTGGTGTCGTGTCGGAACTGCACCATAATTTGTATTCATGGCACCTACGTGTTTTCCATGATTCTATTGTAGTTACTGTCTAATTTTCAGCCACAGTCAAACAACATTGAACTTAGATCAACATGCAATAGAGTACTGTTGTATGCAGCACTGGACACATGGCCGACAGAGGGACAATGATACACAAACATAAACACTATGAAGGGATGTACATGTTAATCTGCGATGACCAGACAGTATCTTACGGAAGTTGTTTTCATGTTCCTCGTTCTCTCTATTATTGAATTACACGAAATAACGAAAACATGTTAAGGATTCCAAACTATAAAAGACTAAAGCTGATTACAGGTATCAAACAACCTTAATTTCGTAGCTGATGGATATACATTACCTTTTTTTTGGTATAACATGATTTTCACTTAGACTAACATTCAGATACTTTGTCAACAAATAATTCACCTAAATGTTGTTGAATTGTTTAAACATTAATGTGGACCATCTTTTAATGTTGATATCAAAATATAGATTGTTTAATTGGTTGCAGGTTCTTGTCTAAATCTAACGTACAAATTGTTTATTGTTTTTTTTTGAGAATGTGGATTGTTCTTTTGGCTATATAGTATTGATTTGATTGTATTGACTTAAGTAAACGTATATAATGTGGATTGTTTGATTTGATTGTATTGACTTAAGTAAACGTATATATTGTGGACTGTTTTATTGTTGAGTATTATTCAGGGTTAAAACGTGATACTAACCTGAGTTATCGGCACTTCCGGCATTACCTACAATGGGATATGGAGGTTAGAATGAGTGACAGAACAATACAGTGACACATTAACAAACAAATGACGTAAGGCAAGCAATCAAGAACACAATGGCACACAGAGAATTGGAGAGACATCATATCAATAGATAATGCACAAAGATATGAACCTTTTTAAACATTAGAAGAAAAAAAGAAAAGAACTAAGGGATTTATCTAGTAGAAATTACATCCACTTGATCAAATAGTATTATTTCTTAAGAATATATATTTGTTGTCGTATGGTGTGTAGAATTGTTTGCTTGTATTTTTTTTTCTTTTTGTAATTATTTTTCTGATTTTTATAAATTTACTTTTGTTAATCAGAACATCAAATGTACCTGTTTATTGTTGACGTAAAGCAAGCAATCAAGAACACAATGGCACACAGAGATTTGGAGAGACATCATATCAATAGATAAGCTCTCTGAGGCATCGGCAACAACCTCTGCGTTTAAAACTATACATACACGTTAGAATATGAGCATGTTACGGCGAGTGAACAAGAATTTACTGATGGATGATGAAGACATGGAACAAATAATGTGATGATACCTTCTTTAAGCTTGTTATTTTAAGAACTTGCACTTTTTTTGATGAGCGAAGGAATGCTCAAATGTGTCTGTTTATAATGTAAAGTTTGATCATTTTTAGATGCATTATGAAACCAAACCATTCCCTACTGCCAATGGGAAGCGATAACATAGTGGCTTACCGGAGACGACCTTTGAAGCACCATCGAATCTGTCCTTGAGAAGTAAGCCGACTTTACGGAAGGTAGGTAGCCTCATCCAGCAGGTTTTTATCGTACAACTACCAGACATACCATGACACTTGCATTCCAGCTCCATGTTCTTCGACACGTGCTGTAAACAAGGATGCTTCAAATGTCATGTATGCAAACACAAAGTATTAAGGGAGTATGGCGTCATGTGCTCGATCGCCATGGCATTGAACGTTGCTAAAACTAATCATGCATATGAATAGTAACAGGTCAATTCAAAAGTGTCGTGTACAGAGGTAAGCTGTTAACATTATTTATACAATTGAAATGATTAGACATGCACAATGATATGAACCTTTTTAAACATTAGAAGAAAAAAAGAAAAGAACTAAGGGATTTATCTAGTAGAAATTACATCCACTTGATCAAATAATATTATTTCTTAAGAATATATATTTGTTGTCGTATGGTGTGTATAATTGTTTGTTTGTATTTTTTTTTCTTTTTTCTTTTTGTAACTTGAGTTATTTTTCTGATTTTTATAAATTTACTTTTGTTAATCAGAACATTTTCCCGCAAATAGGTATCGGTCATCAACGATGAGTACATTAAACAATTATGTACTTTTAATTATCATAGTCAGAAATCAGTTAATGGTAATAACCATCAAAATATTCCCGTAGAAAGCCCTGATTGCGTAAAAGTTTGCTCGGCGTAAGCTGATGTTTCCAGTAGAAAATCCTGATTACATAAAGTATTGGCAAGATAAACTGGTCTGAAAACAAAGTATTTACTTCCCGACACTTAAGTGCAAAAGAAACACTAAGTATATATTCACTTTACTTGAACAAAAAAATGATAAACTATTTACATACAGTTTTCCGTTGTAACCATGAGAAGGCAGATTGTTCCTATTCAGAAGCAAACAAATATTTAAATATAAAAAAAGAAAACAACTGTTCACACAAAACACTTAACGGGAGTGGAAAGGAAATATAATCCTATATAATGCAATTTTATGTCAGTAGTCCATCAACGAGTGTTGATCAGATCTCGACAAACATCTACCATACTGCTATAAAGTGGGACAAATCATCAAACCTGAGGTAAAACATTCTCGGCCAATCCCTCATGTAAATGTACAACATACTGTTTCTCTCAAGCATAACTTTTAATTGAAATAACGTTTTATATGCATTATATACATTTAAAAAATATCATTTTATCAACTAGCAATCTCGAACAAATTGTATTGTCAGAGTAATATATTCTTATCGAGTTTAAAGTCAATTTGTATTCGGAAATGTATTTAATAATTTTACTTATATGGAAATTGTGAAAAACATTAATCACAAAGAAAAATATATTATCGATTTTTTTCTTGTCAAGATAACATTTGTATACACTTAGTCATTTAGACCGGCATTTTTTATGTAGACCAGTTTAGCGCAATTATGCGTGAAAGAATTTTATGTGGTTTTATATCGATAAGTATTAGGAAAAGATTTTAAGATTGAGACCGTATTCGTGAAATTTAGAAAACGCGTTCTATTGGTTGATATTAACAATATCGGCCATCGCATTAAAATGTCCACAAATATTTTAACTGATACACGTTATAAAATGCCAGCGTTCTAAAAATCTTATTTTTCCAATCAAAACTGCTGATTGTAGTTTATTTTTGACAATCTTCAGATGCATTAATATTCTATAGTATTTAATTCTGCATTTTTTAACAAACAAGTTCGAATAGAGTTATTAATTGGGGGCATACGATATATGTATTGAAAATATAAGGATGTTTACGAAGCCCTTGATAAAGCCCGTTGTATCCCAATGTATGTGTTACATAAAATTAGGAGCGGGATACAAATACTTAATCTTCTCACTTTTGTTTTTGTTTTGCTATGTCAGATTGGAAGCCATTCCCCCAGACCGTATTCCGAGACAAATATATTTATTAGCTTGGGACTTCTTCCTGGAAGGATTAATATTCAAGTGAGGAATATTTTTGTTTGTAACCATGACTTTTGTTTTAATGGTGTCCAGTGTCTACCTGAGTTAAGAATGTGTTTTATATCACTGGTGACCATAAACGTTCCTGGCTTTGCCGGGAATCAGCACATATGCCGACATGCCATGTAGCATACAGAGAGCGACCTCCCTCCGGAGCACTAGGTCTCCCAGGTTCGTGATACCTTTGTTATTTTGTTGGTGTCCCGTCTGTAATGCTGTTATTACCACTGTGTGTTGACGTCATGGGCTCTCTATATATTATTTTAATAACAGTAGAACACAAACAAGTGAATATCTATAATAGAAACAAAAGTTAGAGACTATGAATCAACGCTTGATGATGTTGACAAGGTCTGATATTTACCAATGGACGGAGGAAAAGTAAATGAAAAGAATCATTGCAAACATTTTCATAATTAAGATAAAAGACACTTACCACTCTCCCGGCTTCGTTGTTATGAAGATTCATCATATATCGAAAGTCACGTCCTTTTTCCAAAACGTCAACAAACTTTCTTGAGAATTTGTGTCCGAAGTTGGCATTGTCACTACACCCTCCCCATTCCCAGTTCTTAGTGCCACGCGGCTTTTTTAGTTGATAGTCACATGTGCACGTATAAACACTTCCCTCCGAACATGCACGCGCTATAGAGTGAGTCACAGCAGCACTTGTTATAGCATATATAAAAGATGTTTCTCGGCAACCTGCAAAAGTAATAACACGATTTAGTCATGAATGCCTCACATAAGTATAACTTAGATACATAATATTACCAATGTGATATAAACACAAAAGTATGCTAATGTAGCTGGCATCGGAACACCTAGATAGATAAATATAATTTGAATTCACATCTACAATTGTGTAGACATAGGGGTACGGATGGTTAGGGTAAAGGGCTGCACATGGACAATGAAACCTGTATTTGATTCCGATGTTTTCGTTTATGTCTAAGAAAGCTTTTAATTTGGATAAGGTAATACATTCTTAGTATCAATTAAACAATGGTATATAAATAACAGAAGAGAGCAATACGATTGGATAACAATCAGAATTATCAGTATACTAATCCCTGCGTTTACTGTATTGTTCACCTCCTGTTTCCATCACGTGTTACTTGACATGTTTGTTAATTAGTCACACATTTGATCTGGGTTTTCATGCGTCACGAATGTGTCTTAATTTTACAATGTGTACACAACTACTCATCAATAGAATTTAATTTTACTACATTGTAGTGTTAAGTTGTCTATTAAACACTCGTAAATAGGCACTGTGACTTGTTGGCGGTTTGAATAATACACGTAAAATTGATCGCCCAGTGCTCTATTTGAGACTACGTACAAACAACCTACGGGTGTACTCCTATCAGATAGATCTGATAAAATAGCTGACTCTCAGCTAGCATAGGCTGGACTTTGCAGTGGTGGTCAAGGTAAATCGACATGAACTTTACATGGGGTTGTCGGTGTAGGGTACGGAGTGAAAAGTCATACTTTTTTATTGTGAACAATTTATATGGCCACTTAAATAGCTAATAAACTTCACATTTACAGAGATATTTGTGATTGAGTTGCCAACACAAATTACTACTCCCCTTCCCTCGAGTTTACCATAGAGATGTCAGGACACGAAGTGTCTTATCTGTAAATGATAATTAAAGCAATACGAACTCTATTAGTGAGACTTTTAACTCCGGAAAAATAAGCATATCAAAATACTGAACATGCTAGGTCAGATATAAATATTAGTATCACCGCTCATGTTCATGACGTCACGATGTCCTTGTCTGCGGAACACGACAGAAAGGATATATATATGCGAATGGTAACAGACAATAAGTATATCCTAAATATCATGATTTCTTTTGATTGAAAACTATAACTAGATGAGTTTCACCATTTGTATACAACTGTTGGCTTTCTATAGAACAATTGTCTTTCATTATAATGAATTATTTTTGTATAATTTCATTGGTATATTTCGGAGTATGGGAACAAACAGAGTAGCTATTTGCTGAAATGTATTATTGCATAAAACTCAATGATCTGCCGAATTTGTATATATGTATTGCATTACGGTAGTCACAGTAAAATCCAATTCAAGTCATTAGAATAGATAGCGATTTATTTGTTTGCATGATGAAATAAAAATATCGTTTTTTGTAACAGTGAAATAAAAATTCGAATTTGACATGTTCTTTCCATAATCAGATTATATTAGAAGATTTGTAATAGGATATGAATTGAAAATATTTCTTATTAAATCATGTTATGTACGTGATGAAAGATGTAGGCGAGCTTGGCTTTGTGTACAAGCTGTTTATAATACAATATTTACTGCAGGTAATATCATTTCTCAACGTCACAGTCTAGTACAGATGGCATATTTCCCAGATGTTACGTCGCCGGGACACCACAAAGCACAATATTAAATAAACATAACACATAAAAAACAGTTGTTAGCTGTACGACGTCATGTTTTCTACATGATGTATAATTAAATCGGCAATAAAAGCAGGTATTAACCGTACACTCTCTATAAACATTCGCTGATTTAAGGAATGGCAGATGTTTTGCACGTTCCGTCACTATTCCACAGTCAGAACGCACACCTGTTTCCAATATATAGTACACCACCGAGCTCACAGGTGTTACAATTAAGTTTCTGTCAACCTCCCTATTATCTCAATCGACTTGTGCCTGGAGCGAACTGTCTATGATTGATTTATCATTTTCTTGTCGTTTCACCTAACAATTTATTTTTTAGGAAAGTGTTTTAGCGGTATACAACAGCAGGCTGGAATGTGAGAACTTATAGTTCTGCGCAGACGAATTTATCAATCGTTAGATCTGTTGGATTGGAGCGGAGGCATAGATAAATGTTTTAAAATACCATCTATTTTACCACCTTCTTATTCCAATCTTCATCGAAATCTAAAGTTAATATTCTGGAACAGTGTTTACCACAGGGAAATCTATACACCCAAACATATAACGATCGACGCATTTCATTTATATTTATAATATGTCTGAAAATTCAATCATGCAGAGTTATGTTAAGAGACATAATTCTATATATCTAGTGATTTTTATTTATCTGGTTCTTTTATTAAACCTTTAACCTATCCGATCTTCATCATTACGATTTCTCTGATGTAATCTTCCGGTGTTAACCCTACAAATAGGATATAGGTAAACGCCATTAGGACTGCGTTAGTGTTAGGAACACAATGTGAAGGTAGATACACGAATTCAAAACTAAGAATTACAATTATTTTCAAAAGTTCCTTTACAATGAAAATCGATTTGGGTAACCTTTCTAAATGTGTATTTTAATTTTTTACTAACGAAATATTACATTTTATGGTGAAAAAGAACTTGATAGTGTCCTTGTGAGATTGTTTCGGTTAACCAATCAATTTAAGCAGTGTTCATTCTGTATACCTGAAACAAATTCTTTTGATTTTATGGTGTCGCCATAATCATACTGTTTGGAGCAGTGTCGTTTGATAATTACTCATGAACGATAAATTCTGTTTGTTGGCAAATACAGTCAATATGCTATGTTTCCAGGTTTATGTCAGATGTAAGTAATAACAGTACAGGATATACTGCCATTAGTGTATAGAGCTCCCTGGTTATAACCGAAAACCGAGGATATGACATAGCTACAGTATATTACACACATGTACACAAGCCAGGAAACGTAAAAGATCAAACCGCTCGGAATTTACCTCTAACAGTATCACAACATGTAGCAAAGGTTTACTTGCCAACTAATGTATCACTGCTGTGAGCTTTGCAATAGAGAACTACTTCTACTGTACAACTATGTGTCGATGCCAACTGTCGTGCTATATTGATTCGACAGTACTGGTATAGTATGCCGTCAATACAAGCGGAACTCAAGCCGGACCACGACTAAACTAAAACCAATAAAAAAGGCACTGTGGAACTCCTTAAAAACGCAGGAGCATAAACAGTTGGTCTAACACCATTTTATATTGTAAAGTAACAAAATATTGTCACTAACAGTAACAACGAAATATAATATCATTTGAGCTGGTTTCACTGAAGGCTAATAAAGACGACAAAAGTATTCTTCACTAACTCAACATTTGTATATCGCCCATTTTGAAATATCACTATAGTAATTGTTAATATGTAGGTATTAACCAGACAACACAAAGCTCATCAGAGTTGCCAATAAGGCCCTGTCAGTAAGCCGGGTAGAGGAACAACCAGTTGATTGGGCAGACGACAGGCTGTCACAATGTCTATTTAATGGGGTGCTTTGATCCTGAATCGAGTTACACATTTACGTTCTGTCTTCATGGCCACATCGACAAGTATGTTCTAGTGTTAGTGTGTCGCGGTCTACACAACGTGTACACTAGATACAATGGGAATGACATTCGAATGTATTACCTATATGTACAGTCGAATCAGACCCATTCAAAACAGTGTCTCATTTATCTCCAGTAATGTCCTTAAATATACGTGTCTGGTATATATCATATAGTATAACAATTACAAATCTCAGTATCAAATAACAGCAACTCTTAGCTGCCCCAGTTATCGGAAATTATCAGAAATTAAATCCTAGATGTAGTATTTTAATATGAAACAACTATGATCTAGTTTAATCAACAACATCCAACATGACCCCTTCAGCTCTAGATGCTTTAGGGCATATCCCTGGAATATAAAAAAAGCTTCTAAATAAGGACATAGCGTTCAAAATATCCCTTCATTTACACATCATAGGACATTTAAATAGAATTTGCTTTCGAGTAATGCATAAAGTTTTAAGATTTCTGGAGATTAATATTCTCAAATAAATTTCAAAACGCCTCACCAACAGTGTAATTTCTGCAACGTTTACTTTATAATTAATTAATTTTAAAATTATTATCAGAGTAAAACCAACATCTTACGCGTAAAAGAAAGAGACAGGGGGTGTTCCTTTGTTCAAGTCACAGTGCGATTATATGGAATGTGCTGTTCTATATTGTCTTACTGACAAACGTCATAACTGATCGTATCAATCGTTAATAGTATACAAAGACAAAAACTTGACAAACATAAACTGTTATTAATCTGATAGTCAACGTCACGATATTCAATTAAACACATTTGAATACAAAACGTGTGATCTATATGTTAGCCGGTGTCACATACTAACCTACAATTTTAAAAGTCAAATTTTTAATATAAAACATATTTAAGTGTTGTTATTTCCCCAAAGAGCTACAAAGGAACACGTTATTCATTGAAAATTTGTTGGGAAACAATTCAGCATGTTAACCTATGATGCCAAGAATAGCTTTGGCAAGCAGCTTTTAGTTGAAACAAAGGGGAAAAAAAATATAATTTGAGTTTTATTGTCTAATTTTGGTATTTTTTATAAAATTTCGATAAAAATTATTATATATAGATATAAATGATTATTATGTTTAACAGCGGAACAAATAAGTGTAGTAACTTTTCTAGTTTTATCTACAATAAATCATCTGTTAATGAAGTTATATTCAAGATAATCCGTCATTTAGAAAAACAACGTTCCTATACGTTCCATACAAACCACTAATGGTGATTGGAAATAAAATCAACATACTTGAATTGAACCACAAGGCGCCTGGACTGTAAACTTTATTACACTGTAATATATATTAGATAATATGTTGTACCTGTGGCTACCC